CTCTCCCCCAGCAGTGTAACGAGCTGCGCCATGATCTGATCTCCATAAGATCCTGTATTCGCTGCGGCCGCCTTGACCACCGCTTCAGAGACCGGTAGCCTCTCCCCTAGATTCTGAAGGAGAATGCTTGAAATAATGTATCCATAGGGACCGGAATCTTGTACTGCAACTGCGAGCACCTCTTTCCAGGCATAGCAATGTTCAACTTGCTGCCACAGAGCTTGCTCAATTGCAATTTTCAAACTCCTGAGATCATTGTTTTCCTGAAATAGAGATTGGTTATCCATATCTTTTATCCTGCCCTTGGATAGTATGTTATCCAACGCTGTCTTTCCAGAAACTTTGAGCTTTGATATCTCCATAACAGCATCTACCAGAACATATGCTGTATGATTCAGTCTTCGCTCAGTCTCAAAAAACTTCTCATGACAGTTTGGTGTAATATCAATGAGTTTTGATGGGCTCTGTAGATTAACCTTGTCTTCAGCCAGGGATATCTTCCAGACTAGAAGAATATCACAAAGACCATATGAAGAATGGCTTCCACCAGCTATCATATTGTCGTTCTCATGCTGTGCCTGTACCTTTGGTCGTACCACAGGTGTTACTACTGTGTAGTAATCTGCACATAATCTGAGTATACTTGGCTGTGACAGGCCTTCAAGAAGACAGATAATATCACCATCTTGAAGTAACTCTCCAGAAGCTTGTAAACTCCATTCAGCCTTCCACTTATCACGATATCCCAGCTTCTGGCAAGTTTGATTGAAAGCAACTTTGAAAGTTTGTTGACTGTCATGTAGAGAGTCGCTGGTTGAATAGATATAACCCAAAATCCATCCTTTACCTTTGATAATAGCTGTTTCTGACCCATAATATATCCCTACAGAACATTTCGGGAAAACATGTTGTGAGACACGCCTGAAGACCTCATGCCAAGAAAGCTTATAATCTGGGACTAACGCAGCACTATTTGAGTCTGAACTTAAACCCAGTAATGCATAGACTTTGTCATGCTGTTTTGTTGCATTATGACTCCGGTACATGCTGACAAGCTCCCCAATGGAAAGTGTAGCAGTGGAATAATGCTCACCATGAGACCGAAAGAGCGCCCCTTTCATAAGAAAAGAGACCGGGCTGATTCTAGGGATGAGTGTGGAAGAAGGCTTCAAATTATCCAGACCCTCACAGAAAATATGTCCATTGATCTGAACAGAGCCACACATGATAGAAATATACTGCGCGACACCGACTTCTTGTAGTACCTAGTCGATGTTACTAGCACTCTTCCAAACTGAATGATAGAATGTTGTCTTACCCAGACGCGGCGAAACCAGTCTCGTTGTAGAAGTTTCTCACATCTCTCACGGTCGTTTTCATTTATTGGCTTTGGATTCTGTTTTCTGCCAAGAGAACCGAGAACCTCAAGTGCTTTATCTCCATATTCCTGAGCCTCTCCCAGCCAGACAATAACACGTCTGGCTTGTGCATAGATCATCCGCATGAGTGGGATCTGCTCGCTCTTTTCATTGTCATCATCCTGCTTGATGCTTATCGCATCAACCCATAGTACTCTTTCTAACTGACTGTCTCGGAGGTGTAACAATGCGGTGTGAAGGCTTTCTGTTATTAAAAACCCACGGCTATTGAGAATAATGGAATGAGATGTGACTGGATTTCCCCAAACATAGGAAAGCGCCTCATAGAGATGCCCCTCGTCGCCTGAGTGTGAGAGGTTGTAGTTGAAAAGTTCGCATCTGATTGGGGCGTCCTTATCCTCGTCTGGCAAAAGGCGGATCATTCGTGTATATGACTTCGGTGGAAGTGGTGAGTAAGTGGAAGAGGGAACAGACATATTTGAACTTTCTTCATGTGTAGAGGACATTTTCCACATGTGTGTAATAAATGCGTATTGGCCCTAGATGATCTCGTCTAGATTCATCAACGAATCTTGTGCAGTTTCACAATGTATTCCACGGGACGTTTCAAACAGGCCAGAAGATGAAGGCAAAAGCGGGGTGGCCTATGAATAGTCACAAGAAAATGTGGGACTGACCCCTTAAGTAAGTCCGAGCCGTGCATGTAACTCCGAAGAGATCAGCTCTTACCCCCACCTTCGACCGGCGACAAAAAACAGCTCTGCTGACATGGATGATCAAGTGGTAAAGACTATGTGTGGTGGAAAACTAAGCGTGTTCTTTCTTTCAAGGCACAATATCTTAATTATCTGGCGCGGCTGAAGGACAAATATTTGCCAGCTCGCCTTTAGCCAGCTACAGCCATATCTGCTATATGATTGGAAGATAAAGATTTCCGAAACGTCCGCCATTACGGCGATCAGCATCTCAGTCTTGGCTTTTTCACCTGCGTGACAAAAGAGAGAAAAGCATTTCTAGGATACTAGAGCTGGTATAATACTACACAGAGAAATACTGCGGCGAGCTCTCAGTCCCTGCACTTTTCTTCAAATCATGTCTACAGCCACGGGTAATAGGATCAGCCGAGGAGCGTGGCCGCGAAGAGAGGTTCGTCGGGCTTACATCGGCCCGAGACCGGGGGTAACAACAAAGCCCGTGTCACGGAGAGTTCTGGCATACAATTCGCAGATAGAGGTGTGTTCAGGTACATACTTCCTGTTGGAATGTATTAGAAGTAATTGACTCGTCGTGGACAACTTGCCCTTAACTGACGCAAGGAAGATAAGGGTACTAATATAGGACACCTATTCCTTAGGTCCAGACTACTAGTAGCTCAGAGTCACGTGAAGATACGTTTCGCATGCTCTATCACGTGGCTTGGAAGGATCTGGAACCGCCCCGGCCCGGGCAGGCACCGTGACTGTATCCATGGCACGCTGACGACGCCCCTCCTCACCTCCATGTTCCCATCATACATCGCATGGACTAGTGCCACACGAACAGCATGAGTAGTGCAGCGCATATTGCTCTGCTTGTTATCCTATTTAGCCTGTCAGAAACTGCCCTTGGTCCTCCAAATGGATCATGCGAAGGACCGCTTTTCCCCAGCTAACATTTCATCGTTCCCAACAATAGGCTCTTCGGCGGGATATATTGCCTTGATGACGTGGCACTTAGCCCAATAAGTGAAACTGCCTCTCCGGCGCGTTACCTTGCTCCAGGCGAATGCACCCCTTCGTATGCTCCCACTCCTGGAATCTTTAGCCGCGATGGCACGCCGTCCGGTGACAGCCCGTCTCTTAGTCGTGGGCGTCGAAGCTCCACCCCCTTGCGTCATTCGCCGCTTCAGGACTACATTCGAGACACGGAGTGGGATCTTGCAGGAATAGATGGCGGCGAACAATATTTAATGGTCCGATATTTGATTGAATGGAGAGTAACTCTCAACAACCGCGTGGTAGCGAAGGACACGGAACAAGATCTGGGTTTGGATCCCCACTTCTACTGGTCAGGAATAAAGCAGAAAGCGGAAGATCTACTATGTCGGAAGATAGCTTGTAACTGACGGGTGAGACTAGACGACACTACAGTAGTGGTCTCTGTAAATGATCGCTCACAGCGCGATCTCGTCAAGCGCTTTGAGAAAACTGATGTTGACTGGACAGCTATCCAAAAGCAGCTCACGATGTGGGAAAATCTATTTCAGCAAGGCAAAAGGCTGAGGCTCTGTATCTCGATTAATTATCTAGATTCCGACCAGCCTTCGAATGGCGCTGACAAAAGAGGACAGACCTCAGTGACCAGAAGAATGCTCCATGCACGAGACGCTGAGATTGACGCGGAACAGGTTTCGGGGCAGCCCTCGGCCTGGCGGGACGTGTACAGAGTAATGCGCTGTCCTGGCTCCCCGTGCCGCCTCGAATCGCAATATTGCTGGCAGGACCCTGTCGGGAAAAAGCATTATAAATTGCGCACACACCATTTGAGGAAGCTGGTTAGGTATGTGGAGCAGGAGGGGGGTGTCATTGAATGCCACGATGATGTACCCGACAACATCCGTGAGCAGTTGTATGCCGAGGAGCAGCAGCGGCTGGAACAACGACAGAAAGTCCCTGGGCATCCTGCAAGTGGATCCCCATTTCCAATCAATATCAACGTCCTCCCCACGCCACCGCCTTGGTCGATGGCTATATCCCCACCAGCTGCTGCGGAACCACCGGCACTCAATTCCTCACCGCCTAGTAGTTCTATTAATGTCCCCGGTCCGTTGGAAGTGGCAGTAGAGAACTACGCTGCATGGCAACTCTCGCGAGTGAATACTGAAAGCTTCAAGGATAATATTATTAAAGCACGGGATATAGCCTTGAACAATTGCCTTGACCTGAAGCAGATTTACCAAGATCAAGACCCTGGCTTTTTCATCAACCAAGGCGTGAAACTGGGGGCTGCACGCCGGTTCGTCACTGAAATCAATGACTGGGTGCAGAAGATGCAATCGTGATGGCAGAGCTGTAACATTTCGATTATACTTTTTGTTATGACTGGTGTAGCCGGCTAAGTATCGAATATACTACCAATAGCCATAGTTACCTAGTAAGACGCTTAGTCAACAATGGTGTACTAATCTCTTGCCAAGTAGCTTACTGCACCTTAGGACGTCTCATGTGGATACTCAATAGTCAGCCCTGCATGCCGAAAATGACCCTCTGCACTTTGCTGCTTTGCTCCAACCTTATCAACGCACCACTCCAAGAACGCTGTGAACCCCTGCTCCGTATTATCCTCGTACGCCTGCCAATTCCGCCGAATAAAAGCCTTAAGCTCGGCAAAGAACTCCTCTATGGGGTTTAGGTCCGGTGAATAGGGCGGCAAATATACCAACTTGACACCTTTTTCGCAGCACATCTGCTCTACCTTATCAGAACGGTGAAAGGACGCATTATCCATCACAAGTACAGATTTGGGCTCGGGCCACTTCCCGCAATGCTGAAGTAGTTCTTCAATAAAATCCTCAAAGAATGATGCATCGGTTGAGCCTCGAAAAACTCTAGCAAGTATAACGCCGTCCTGTGCGTAAGCAGGGAGTATTTGGTAGCGCTGATCGCGGTGAAATCTTGACACCTGAACCGGTGTGGTACCACTCGGAGACCACCCGCTTCTTCGAAAGCCTATTCTTTTGTCACATCCAGACTCGTCCACATAAACCAAGTGGAACGACTGGAATTCCGAAATCAGATGCATATAATCATCACGTAAATCGGCATTTCGTTCTGTCGCTTGCTGCCGACATTCCTTTCTAGACCAGCCGGACTGACGGAGAGCATCACTAATAGTAGGCCTTGGCACACGTATGTCAAATTCGTCCAGCAGAAAGAGTTCCATTTCGTGCAGGTACAGACCTGGCTTTTCTATCAGATGATCGCAAAGGGCTTCTAGCATTGGTGGAGTTAACTTCCGCGGGCGTCCGCCTTTTATCGGAGGGGCTTTGAGAGTGCCAAACAATCGAAGATTGGAGCGGAGTCGGAATATTGCGCGTTTACTGCAATTAGCAGTTTTAGCCATTTGTGATGTGGTTAATGCACCGCTGACCAGCATATCGTGGATGAGGTCAAGCGTCGATTGAGCTAAATTGGGAGCCATTGCGTTGCTTGAATTGCAAGCAGTAACCAAGTGTCAGTACGGTGTTGGTAAGATGTGTCGGGCACGTGGATTATGGGTTAAAGGCACGTGGAGCTTAGTCATTAATACGGTATTTGGTCCCGGTATAGGTAGTAATTTACCATACAATGGCGGGTTAAAGATTTTCCTGCTGACATCCCAAACATGGTTTAGTGCGGTTTCAGGTCAGGGTTGCTGAACCAATCAAAAAGAGTAAGTAGTGACACCGGTATCCGGACGCACTGTAACAGGCTCCTCGGTGGCATCTATTGTCTTGATGATACTGCTTTCAGCCCCTTGGATGAGACTACTTTCCACGCTCGTGATCTTACCGTATGGGAACGGACTCCTTCATATGCCCCCACTCCCGGTAACTTTGGCCGCGATTGTACCCCGTCCAGATACAGCCCCTCCAACCATGGAAGTCGAAGTTCCACCCCCTTGCGCCAAACCCCACCTGAACGAGACTTCATACCAGAGTGGGATACAAGGGTATATGATGGGGAACATACCGGTATACATTATTCAATTGAATGGAGGGTGACTCTAAACAATCGGGTCGTGGCAAAGGATACGGAGTAAGATCTGGTTCGTAGAGCACCTTTTTTTCTATCTGTATTAGCTTGGGAGAATAGGAGTGCGTGGCTTTTCTCTTTAGTTTATTCGCACAGAAACTCTCTAGCAAGTTCTAAAGGCAACGTATTCCATGTATCCCTATACTACTTAACAATATTGCCACGGCTACTGTTTTTCATTGCTGCAGAGCTCATGTCGCGCGTTAGAATACATGTCAATATTAGTTCGATCGGAGTACGGATCTGACAATTCACGCTCCAGCTAATTCAGGCTTATGATAACATGTAGCTAGGGTCTTAAAGAGCATGCTCAAATGCTTGAAAGGCATTAATGGTATCATCCAGAGAAACTAAGGGACTAATTGGATTGACTATGTGTCCCAGACCAAGGATACAGTGCGTAAATGATCCACTAATCTATTGTGTTACAATGCAATAAATAGATACGAGACCTGCTGGGCTGACAAGTGGTATCAGAATGACAATTAACCACAAAATTAAGAGGAATACCGTCAAAAGACGTATAAAAGCACAGAGGATCGAAGATCAGACTCAAAAGCAGGCCCCCACTAACACTACACTAATCCTAGGTCTGGCTAATCGAACGGTAGGCATTAAGATAATAAGACCATAGCCTACTGCGTTACCAGCACGCTAGCGAGGATTTCGGTCATTTTCTCCATCGCAATATGTTTAGCATCGACCTTTGTCCAAGGCTTCTCAGTCCGCTGGCACGCCACTGCCGCCTCATCCTCGGCTTGGACATGTGCCATCTCGTTTCTCCCGAAGAAGCCAAGCCTATCATTCAGAATGGCCTGGCGGAGGTCTTCTGTGACCTGTCCAAATATGAGAGGTTTCACCACAGGCTCCAATTCATGGAAGATACGAATAGTGCCTGGCCGAGTATTCAAGGCTAAAGTGATGAGTACATCCATTTGTATGTCTGTGAACGTCGCATTGTTGCTAAGAAAAGTGAGTAAGCTGAGAATTGTGTGGGCATAGTAAACTCACATAAATCTAATGAGCTGATCGTCCCCGATTAATAGGATGCCAACTCCCAATGACCCTGCAAGTGTCCACCACCACTTCCCACGTTTTGCATAATTCGCTGATATCTTATTACGACGAGATTGCGGTAGCTTTGATATGCGAGGATCGTCATGATACGCATTAAGAATGCAATCAAGGACATAGGTGGTGGCTGCCTTCGGTATAGGAGCAGGGCAATATATTCCTGGGTGCCTACAGAGCTCGTTATAGTTGAAGTAGAGCAGTACCAGTCCAATACGCCTCGCGACAGGGTCAAGGAAAGAATCTCTCTCATCTGCATCAAGGACTCTCAAATAATTCACCATTCCTTGTATACCGAGCCAGACGACAGGAAGTCCAAGTGCATGCAGGCCGAGCGACATATTGTTGTCCCAATCATTCAGAAGAGGCCGTAGTAGCTCGCGAGATGTCTGCGAGGAAAAAGACCTTTCCGCTTTGAAAATCTCCTGAACATGTTTTTCGGATAGTTTTCCTCCACCGCAGGATTGTAGTAGGAGGAGGATCGTCGAATTGGGTTTTATAGGAATTCCTTTTGCTCTGGGTTGCTTTCGTATAGCGGATCTAACACCTGCGAGTGTCTCCCCAGGGGAAGAGTCAAGACACATACTAGAAGGTGTTGAATAGTAGGAAGTTGTCCCATTCAGCCCAGGTGTGGAAACGGTCTCTGTGGGTGACGCAATTCCAAGGCCTGGATAGGTGGTGAGAAGAGTTGTTTCTGGCGGTGTTAAAAGAGTGCTTTCATCAAGTATCATATCCTCATCCAACAACTGCTCGGCTTCGCCGCTTTGGAAGTGACTGTAATCGTGTGTGATATTCTTCCATGGATCAGGGACGACGTCGAGTGGGATGTTATCTGGAGAGTTTAACAACTTGGGATCGTTCATTGGTAGGGACGGGGGCAACGGAGGGAATAGAGTGGATTGAGTGGCGGCAAAACTGTGGTTCCCTTCGGGAGAAGAAATGGTTAGTATGATCGGAAGTGACGGTAAGAAGAGTGGGATGGACATGCTTCCTACCTAGGTACACTGAAAGCTCGTTCTGGTTAGCTTCTTTTATTTCAAAGCTATCCACGAAGCCAGCGTTTGTAAGCCCATAACCGATATTGGCTACCTGAAAGCTCTTCAGTTGCCCAAGCTGCTCCAAGTCGGACCCAAGATCTCGAACGAGCTGCAAAGAGTAAGAACAAGCCGTTAGCATATTCTCGATGAACCAACCTTTCTGGACTGCTTCTCTTCAAGAAGAAGAGGCATCTCTCCGGGGTCCTGTTCCTATGCCGCGAGCGTTAGTTGCTGCAAGTCTCTTGGAAGAGCGAGCCCACCTCAAGGCCGACCGTGACATGTAACATATTCACGCAACCAGCCCGGTGTGTGGAGGATATAATCTTCTGTTCGGTGCTCAGAGTATGGCATCGGATAAATCCCCCTCTTTGAGCCCGTATCAAGACATCTGTTTTCTGCAAATCGTCAAGTCGTCCGATCTGCTCTAACAATTTACCAAGATGATTGACCAGCTGCACTAAAGTGAGCGTTATACGAGGCCTTTTGGAGATTACTCACGTCGGCACACGCATCCTCGTCCCAACCTGAATTACCTTTCTGGATGTCCTTCCTGGGGGTGAGTTGAGGAAGTTGGTTCAGATTGGTTCTCACTTACCTGGATGCCGACCGTTAAAATGAACATGTTGGTAGGACCAGCCCGCCAGATCGGCTAACGACGGTGATTAAGAGAGTGAAAGTTAGCAACCAGGGGTGGTACAAATTTACTGAATGAAAGGTTGCCGTTTGGCAGGCAAAGATGGAGGTGCCAGACAGGCTGACGGAATGGAACCATGATGGAAAGTGAAAGAAGCCGGCCTTTTTTTGTTCGGGGGGTTGATTAGACCCTCAGGGAGGGTGAGCAAAAGGTGAGTTCCTACGAGCACATCGAAGAGCCACGGTCTAGTCGCTGAAGCCGTGGCGGACAATGAACCTGCCCCACTCACCTCTCCAGGAACAAGTCGTGCGTCCGGTAATCAATCCAAAAGGAGAAAGCAAAAGGGAAAGGAACAGGAAAAGTGTCTGAGCAGAGCTCCTGGGTAACATTGTATTCTCACCGCCTAAATCCAGCTAGTCCGGAATACGTCGTTAAGCCTCTCCGTTGCCCCATCTAAACCTCCGATATTTCATCTGCGATACGCCGTACTTTACGGAACGCTTCGAACCGTCCTCATCTTTTTTCCATCAACCATCATTAGGCTGGTATTCCAGTTCTGAAAGCTGTACACCCTGATGCAGGTAGCCTCGTACGATCTCCCGTATGTGATCTCGAAGGTCATCTGCCGCGGAAACTGAGAAGGAAAGTCAGTCCATAACACTTGCAGAGTCATACGAGACGCTTACTCATAACCAACGTCCGGCCTCGCTCCTGCTGGATGTTCGGCAGCCTTTCAATCATGTCGCCAGATGCCTCGAGTGCGATAATGCTTTCGTAATCCGGCGTGCCCTGGTAAAGGCAGAATCGTTTGTGTTCCCCAAATGTTGTTTTGTCATTTGCAAGGCCACTTCTCACGTATATAGATACATTGAGGATCTAGAACAATATCAGGTCAGCTTCAGACGGAACATCTCGGGCTTTGAGACATGTTGCAGACATAACCATTGTCTATAATATCGTCATCGAGGAGATCATTAAGCAGGCCTTCGGCCGCATTTGTCATGTCTGGCTCATTAGCTGGGTGGGTGTTCGCAGGATTAACTGCACAATGCACTCACCAATCGATTCTACCTGCCATACTAAGTGCAGTCGGCGAACTAGTAGAGTAGAAGTGTTATAACCGTAGATCATCTTTTTAATATACGGGGTCACCGCGGCAAGCCCAAATCCACTGGCGATTAACAATGAGCTTTCGTATTGACTGACATCCTCAGTCGTTCCATGAGGGCCAGTGAATAGGGCCAGGAAAGAAACAGAGCTTTCTAAGGCCGCTAAGGCGTGACGGGTGAGATCCGCGGATAAACCATGGCGTGGTTGTACAAGAAGCTCCATGACGTCCTGCCTATGCCGGGACCATGATGTGACTGTGAACGGATGAGTCTGTGTCCACGACCGTACACTTACCGATGGTATCCAGATGTTGATATACTGCCCGGCCTCGACCTGCACCGGTCGAGGTAAGAGGACACGAACCCGGGCAGCTGTCACTATGAGCTTGTCCTCATTTGTTTTCTTGGATGTGAACGTTACGAGAGCCCTGGGAGCACCGCGGCCTGCAAATAATCCGTTTCGATATAATAAGATCATTAGCTGTAAACATGAGGTCAGCCCTAAGGCCCCCAACGAAATCCAGAGATAATGATTTAGGGGGGCGTTTTCGTCTGAAAGATGCCGCAAGGTGCCATAGACAAATAATGCAGCCAGGATCTGATGCCCTCGGAGAAAGATCTCGAAGGACCACCGACGAAACCACGTATTTGAACACAAAGCAAGGATACCAAGTGATGCAGCACCCTAGCCGCCGTTAGCTGGCACAAAAGAAAGCAGTGAAGTGACGTACGATCAAAGTAAACATATCTTGTGATTCATAAAGTGAAAAGCTGAATTGCTGGTCCTGTATCATTGCGATTATGTGGAATGACACCAGAACAATAGTCATCCAACCAGTAGCACGGTGAATCCTACAACAAGTGCGCCATTTTATGCCAAGAAGATCAGCTAAGTAGCTCAGGTGCGTGGCGGATAAAGGGAAAACTAGATTGATTAAGGCCAACTCTCCAGCCCGGCGGCCAGCACTGGTTAATGATGTTATTCTGAAGAGGATAAGGAAGATATTCATTGCGGCATATGTCACGTGAAGGATAACACTGGCTCGTGACCATGGGCCCCAGAGCCGATGTCTATGAACAAAATAAGGGATAGTCAGATGTCGAGATACTAGGACAGAGAATAGATCTGTCCATTTGACAAGGATGGAGATGATCCGGGCAAAAACCAACGCAGCAAAGACACCGCCGGCGGTAATTGCGTAAATAGCTGATATATCCATCCTCAGTGCAAAGAGAAGTTGACAGAAAACAAAACAAGAAGAGCAGGAAAGGACGATGAAGGGGAGTCCGCATACGAGAGGGTTCTTATAACTTAACGATAGCTACAAGTGGGGACTACTGCGGTGCGAATCCTTGAAGCAGAGCACGCCTGCGGGATATAGGTTTTATATGTAATACACCGCAGTGACCCTCAATGCCTATGGAGGGTATTTAATAGAGTCCAACATTCCGGATACCGAAACTGTCCGACAATTTCACTTAGAACCCTGCAGTATGTCCAAGCAATCTCCTTGGGTGAAGAAGCGTCACGTTGAGACCGCTCGAGCAAAATCGCAACAGCGGCAGAGGCGTAAGAAGAGTCTGTTCAAAAAGGCAGCGGAATTCAGCCTTGAATGTGATTCCGACGTCTTCGTGGCTGTCCGCATCCGAAAAACCGGGCAAATATATTATCTTGATTCATCCTCACTAAGCCAGTGGATCAATACTTTGTCCAACCTGGTATTATATACTGATCCGTACATTTCGAGAACATAACTGATACAAATAGGAATCATACTACCCTTCTCCAATCCAGGAGATAATGGAGGATATTATACCCCAGGTTGAGCCTTTCCCAGAGCCGGGAGGTACACCAGCTACACCAAAAATGAAAAATGTCTGAAAATGATATAAAATACTTATTGCTAAATGTTATCTTATTGTGTTATTTGTTCAATTTATAATATGGGTATATCTCTTACATCAGCGTGGTTGTATTCGGGCTGCGGTAGAATATGCTTCTAGTTCTTACGCCCTGCGGAAACCGCAGTGCTAGGTCCCGGGCCACCTATTCTCTACCATGAGGTGAAAACCCAATCGGGGTTAGATTCATTTGCTCTCACTTGTCCGCACAGCATATTCGTACCTATTATTGGTCATGAGAATCACTTTAACATATTTTTCTGCTAGTTGAACTTACCAACTTGTCCGTTTCTAGAGGCTTCCTTAGGATATCTCCATGTTTAGGACTTACCTATGGATGATGGTGGGGTAAAAGGATACGATCGATCACGTGACGGGCGAATCGTAGAACATTACCAAAGCTCCTGGAAGTTGAGAACCTTTTCAGTTCTTCTACTAAGAAGTACCACTTCCCATGACAGGTGCAGTAGCTTCAGGTATCAAGAGTCACTATTTATCTTATTAGGGCCGATTAAATCTATAGCCGTAGCATTCAAGCCTAGTTGGTGGACAACTTAAATGTACGGTATTAACTGTTTTCGTGAACATGATGTCCCTCCATCAGTCTGGAGTACCTAGGCGGTGGAGTGCTCGGCTGAATTAAACCGGGAATCTGCCCGAAGTATCCGCGGCCCACATAATCACTCGTTGTAGTACTGTACTTCTAGACTCTTTCCCAACACCTCGTCCAACTGCATCCTCTCGCTATATTGACTACAGTACAATCTGAATCTTACATGATCCATTATGTCTGGGGGCTGGTTTTCCCTAGTAGATTACAATTAAACCGGCCGCCTGCCCGATTGGGGACCTAGCTGAAGGAAGGATCCCCACGACCGGGCAAGTTAACCAGGAAGCCACAACTGAAAATTTTGGGAAGGTCTTGCGGTAGGCCTTACGGCCCATATAATGGCGCTAACTTGTAGGGACCAACACATATCTTTTCGACGCACGATCAATCTTCGAGAAGCCAATGTCCCAGGTGTATATCTGATCAGAATGATATAAGCAATCCCGGAGCTTGCTTTCTGGTATCCAGAACACTAAGTTTTGGATATAATATTAGTAGAACGCCAAGAAAAGCACCCACGGGTACTCGGAATTATACGTCATGCTTTGATAATAGACATGCATCATTTAACTATATCTTAAATAGTAAAAGTGCCAAGAAAAGTACCCAGCTGGGTATACCCACGGGGTATACCCACGGGTACTTGAGCTTAATAGCAAATAGTGACGTGGCTCTGATTGAGTCCGCTTCGCGCCCGTGTCGCGCACCCCTCCAGGAGGCCCCCCGCTTCGATGCTGAAGCAATTCGGAACATATGCCATGCTACCAAAACAACGTCAATCATCTCAATTTCGGGTGGCTCCTAAATTTCTACAAGTTATGGTTGGACAACTTCGTATTATTTGAACACAATACAAGACTTGTAGATGGAAATAGAGCCCAAGCCAATAATCACCCTAAATTAGAGTCTAATCCAACTTATCCCAGTTCTTACAAGAAGCGTAAAAGCCATACAGAATTCTAAACACTTCGTTCATGGGTGACTCAGGCACATGCCATACAGATGGGCAATCTGTCAACATCTGAACGTGTTCACCTAAATCTAGCGCTGCCGAACTATCTACACCCAACACGGAAGGGCCGCGTATTAGAGAACAGTCTACGAAAGCTTAAAATATAAAAAGCTTGCTGGAGGCCAAATTGTGTGTAGAAGTGTCTGGGAGGCGTTGCTAGCTATTTATTGAGCATGTGAACGTCTAGAACCCTGCTTTCGCCGAGCCAAAGGAACAATATTTTCCTACCCAGTAAGGGTCGATCGTGACGTACGGAAGGTCGATTTACGGTTGTGCTGAAACAATTGGAGCTGATCGAACTTTGTTACCCTCGCGTTCGTCAATACCGTCAATCAAATGTAATGCATTTCCATCAGTAGGTAAGGCTCTGCAATCGGGAAGATCACTGAGGTCGATACCTAGGCTGGGGGCAATACGCTGCAGAACACTATTGCACTGCCGGAGCGCGCGTCCGGGGGCAGCATATGTGTATGCCATGTGGTGGAGCCAGCGCATGGCCTTAATCTCCCTGACCGTGATCTCCAGATCGGAGAAGACATGATGAGCGGGGTGTTCACTGGGCCCGGGTGGCCAGCTGGAAAGGTGACGAAAGAATAGTTGTTGTCGCTTGCATGATGTAATGGAGGATGCACCACCAAGGAGTCATTGCAATGATCCCACCGGTCCGGGGCCTGTAACTGCGAGTCCGGCTGGAACAGCTCCTTGATGCCGGGCGGCACATCGTCGGACTGCTGCACCCGATTACCCTGGTTGCGCGATCGCGCTGCCAGCTTGAAGAAGTGAAAGAGGTGCCGTCCTAGGTGGGAGCGGCAGGCGATGATGGACAGGGTGCTGGTTAGTGTCAGGAAGTCCCGGTCGAGGATGTCGAATGTGTCCTGATCGAGCAGGGTAAACAGCGCCAGGTTGACAGCTTACATGGCGAACTGGTGGGCATGCTCCAATCTGTACTCCACCCGCAGCTGTTGTGAGACCACAGCGATGGCCCGCGCCAACGAGACAGCAATTTCCACGGCGCTGAACCCTTTGGTTTGTCGGGGAGTGCGCTCGTCATGCTCAGACAGTAATGGATGGACTCCGAACCGATTGCAACAGAGGTTAATGACCAGCGTGTGGTGGCGCATTCTATGCCACAAGGACTCGTTAGCTAGCTATACAGCCACCTTTCCCTCCTATCTCGAGGGGAGAGAACACCACCGAAGTAAAAGCAGATGCGGGGCGGGCTGCGTCGCCGGATTGAAGCATTCAGAGAGACTGCTCTCACATGCACAGAGATGGTTGTAGAGTTCCTGCTTACACTGATCAGGCTCCAAGCCCGAGTCTGTGCGAGACAGACACCAGATGTCCCGCGCGATGAACGAGGGCTTGCGTGCCTCATCGAAGTATCGATTCAAGTATGACGGCCAGGAGGCTTGGGAGATGGGGTATGGCGTCCATATGTCGCTCACGTTCATGCTATTTCAGTCCATGGGCTCCATGCCCAGAGCTCACTCGGCTCGGATAGAAGAAATTGGTGTGCATGACTGTCAATGCGAGAAGTCAGCTCAACCCTTGTGAGGCGGCGTCGTTGAGGAGATAAGAAGAAACATATGAACTACCTGAAACAAACCCACACCGTGTACTTGATAGAGACAATTAGATCTGAAGACATTTGCGATATTGAGAATCGTAAGTCGGTCCTTTTGCTTATGATCTTTAGTGACTCTCATCTCAATGGCGCGATGCAGCATGGTATATCCACAGTCATCATGGCCCGACAAGGAGTATCTGGTGGATTAACAACACGGCCCGGTCCCTCCGGTCGATGCGTCAGGGCGCCTGCCGCCCGGGTGAGTGTCAGTATATCTCTCATACAGCAACAGGTGTCCCTGCAAAGACGCCAGGCGGATGTCGCCTCCTTTCTCAGACTGATATGATTGTAGGTGACGTCCCGCCTCGGCCAGGAAATCGGCTCCTTTCGTGCAGACATTTCTGGGGACCGTGTAGGCTTCGGTATATTGCGAGTAGTAACTAAATCGACCCCAGAAGGTGCATGGTCAGCGAACGAGCCTTGAGACCAGCCCAAGAGGGCAGATCGGACTTACGCATGCATTAGCCAGCAGAGCGTTGACCAGGAACGAGCTGTAAAAGTCGGACTCGGTAATCCCCAGTCATGTGTTTGACAGAGTTATGGCTGTCGAGAAAATCGAAAAAGGGGTAATCCGAGATAAGGTAGAGGGAGACCGAGTGTGACACCAAAGTTGTTGTCGTCGGTGACGGCAGTCCATGATTTAGCAGGGACGCGGTAAGGGCCACTGGCACAAGTGCCGGATGCCCATGATCCGTGGGTAAAAGCGTGGCGGTTTACTTTCAACCTCGATACCGCGACGCAGGCTCTCCAGGTGCTGCTGGGCAGGGGGCTGGGCCTCGGCCAGGGCGCGAGTGAGGTGGGCGCGGACCTCGTCCAGCGAGGCATGGTTGCGGATCAACGCCACTAGGTGCTGGGCATGGTCTGGTCCTCATAATAGTTACTCGGACTGGTGGCGTATTCGGCCGCGGCTTGGAGGCGATCCGCCTCGGCCGGCGCAGTCGACGGCCTGAGTTATTAACCCGGGGTTCCCAATGGTGCATACACTACTACAGATAGGCGACTCTGTCTGGGGCGGGGAAGGGGGAGAAGGGAGGGGGCGTGGCTGGGAACGGAGCACCTACTTCGGATTTCTTTCTCCGCGTGGGCATGGCGCAACACCGGGGGTGTTATTGGTGATGGTTGGCTTAGATGGAGCTAGAAAAGGGATCAGGATGAAAAGATGTTTGAGAGAGGGGCCAGGAAAGTGTGTGTATGCCTGAGTTTGGAAGCAGAAGATGATGGGTGATGATATTATGGAGATGTTCATATTGAGGCCGATTCGGATCGGTATTTGGGAGATAATGCTATCGTGGCATAAGAGAGCCCACTTTATTCTCCAAAAACGCTTCCGTTGGAGGCTTGGATGGCCCTCACCCTGGCCGCCATGGAGGACATAGTTGGCAATCCAGTCTGGTCCGTAATACTGCAGTTCTCTGTTTCCGATGGTCGTCAGCCCATGATACCAGGAGACGAAAGCAAACACGAAACAGGCGGGAAAGAAGATAGGAGAGAGAGAGAGAGAGAGAGGAAGAGAAGAAGAGGGTATGCTGAGGTAAGCGACTGTGGGGACGCTGCCGCCGCACCACAGCCATTTCACGCCGATTGATCCCAAGTGGGAGTAGGCTAACTATAAATTATCTTTATGAATAGATAATGCTTGAGTAGCCTGCGTTGGACGGACATGCTATTCCACCACTCCATCTTCTGCTCCAAGGATGAGACGACGGATATGAAGGGGACCTCAACGCAGCTGAGCCTACCCGATAGTTAGCACCCGTTGCAGAATGTTTCAAGACGGGTGAGACACGGCATTTGGCGCTCTCTATCTGGCCTTGCCGTGCTAGCGGAAGTGGACAGAACACAACATAATTATCAGACTTATACTTTCTGAGAATCCATCAACAACTACGATGGTACGCAATATAAGCAGGTAGGCATGGACATCAAGTATTATTCCTCAATTTTATCTGGGTATAAGATCATTGGGCTATGAGCCGTCTTTGGATCACCTACCGACAGCTCCCCATTGCACACACTTTGGATATGTTGATGAGATGTTGGTTACTATTCCCTCCCTGTCGGTGAAGTTTAACATTCGGGCAATTATCATCCAGCTGGCCACCCTGCTGCAGCGTCCGTAGACATTGCTGGGTGCAAAACTGCGCAGTCGGTCCAAGGCAGAAGCTGCAACGGACAGCATTTCCCAGTGGGCGGCGGTATCTTCCCCGTTGTAGAGTGAGACGGACTTTCAGCTCTCAGAGATCGGGAGAAATAGTTGTGACAGTATTGGATAAGCTCTGCAAAGGTTGTCTGTCGTGTTCGTTCTCTTCCCTGATCCCTTTCCCTCTGTGCCTGCCGCTGGAGTTCATCTGCCTGTTGTTGGCGTTCCTCTGCTTGTTGTCTTAGGGCTGCTTCCCTGAAGAAGAGGGCTTTGTAACCCGGCGAGCTGTTGTTAGCCATTTACTTGATGTTGGTTCATCAAGTGATGGTGGTCTTGACTGAGCCTCGACGAGGCTGACATGCGGAGAGGTCGCCGTAATAGATCAGCCGACCAAGAAGTCGGTTAAAGTAATCTTCCGGCATGAAGACGAACAAGTCGCCAATCTTCTTGCCAGGACCTGCTCAAGAAAAGGTACAACCAAATCGAGTACAGCACTGAAGGAATGCTAATATCGGTTCTGCATTTGGAAGGGATTCAATTAAGGAACTTCTAACCTAAAACCACAAAACTCCCGAACCCAGAAAGCCCAGGACGGCGAAGACCGGGAGGATGATTTTTTACGCCTAAAAGAGCCGGAGCCCGACCTCCGTGATTAGCTGGAACGGTACATAAGTTAATCCGTAATCCGAATCCCCACGTCCGATCATAGCCATCCCATACGTACACAACAGAGAACTTACACTACGCATCTCATGTGCGTATCTCCTATCCAAGTTCCTTATCCGCTCTCAATACCAAGGAAAGATTACTGCTAAGATTATTTTCCCATTTCACTTACGAACATATTCTGATTAGTTCATATCAAGAGACTACACAAGCAACAGACTAGCTGAAGCTCATTGGAGGTAGGGAGAAGTATTGGTATTGCTTCCAAGACATTCCAACTGGAGGAATTATATATATTGTTGATCTTTGCTGTCCCATCCTGCTCTATAGCACAGCTTGCTACAGTTAATGTCGGGCGAGAGATAGAGCTAACTATGATCCGCTGTATAGTACTGAACACTGCGCCCGAGTTAGGACTTCAAATCTCTCTCTTCTCTCTCCCTACCCAAGCCGTCACATTGCGTACGGCAGACTCCGGATCGGCTCTGTATCGCTCTAGATAGTTCTGAAGTGTCGCAGCAGAGAGTTGGTTCGGCGGGACTTGATCTGCGAATGAATCCGACAAAGCGATGATGGAATCGATTGACCAATCAGGAGATTCTGGTGTCAATGGACAACAAATCTTCAAGGTTTCCGACTCGACTATGAAAGGTTGGTCTGAAGGCTTTGTAAAGATTGAAAGAAAATGTTCTTTGATATCCCGACGAGTCGCCATTTTGAAAGGAAAACTGACATCCACGCGGCCTGGGCGTCGAAGAGCTTCATCGAGAGCTAGTGGCTTGTTTGTGGTCATGATCAAAATACGGCCTTCTTGAGCAGATACGCCATCGATGATATTGAGAACTTCGGAAAGGGTTATTCCACTTGGAGAATGCTCAGATGACTCTGGAGAGTCAGAAGCCCTGTTATCAGCATCCATCACCTCATCACTCTGCAAGGAAGTACCGCCAATACTGCGTTTCTCGATGCCAGCTTGATCCACGTCCTCGAAGAGCACAAGACACCGTTTTGGTAGAGACAGGAATAAACGAGTGAGACTGTCCCCATTCATAGTCTTTGAGTTAAGACTGACCGTGTAAATCTCGAGATCTATTAGGCTAGCCATAGCGAGACAGAGGCTTGATTTGCCTGTACCTGGTGGGCCGTGGAAGAGATACCCTCGTCGGTATGGAATACCACGTGTGTCGTACCAGTAGCGAGTACGCGGGTGGAAGAAGCCTTCCATATCTTTCAGGAGGTTGCTTTTGATTTCCGGATCTATAACAACGGTTGATAGTGGCCGTGTCTTCTTGGACGGCAGACTGAACCACTGTTGGGAAGGCCCATCCTTCAACCCTTGGTTCACACATACGTCGCGAACATTCTTCTCCAGAGCAGCCCTCTGTATGTCACGCAGGAGATCTTTGAGAGCATTTGGATTGCTTGCGTAAAAATACAGCCTCTCCCTGTGGTCAGTCCAAGGGTTACCGGTGTCCTGGTACATTTGCCGACGGAGACCAAACAAGCGCCTTTTATGAACAAAAAAGTAAATCCCGGCAGGCGCAGGCGAATATCGGATAAGCGGACGTCTCTCTTGCTGTTTAATTTTCATCCAGAAACCCCGTAGATCATTTTCGAATCGCAGTATCTCTTCTTCGGAGTAATCAGTTTCATCATCGCTCCCTGGTTCTTCTGTGGCCCACGGGGAGACGAAGCTGGTTTTCGAACTAGCGACGGATCGTCGTATGTTGGTCAACGCGGGGTTTTGAGAGATCCAGTTCATTACGTCGCGGTATATAATGTCGTGATACCTGATCTCCACCGAGGCTGCAAAGGAGAGGAGAAATGACTGCAGTCGGTCCCAAAGTGAAAGGGCTCGACCCGCACAAATGCAGAACACCAGGGATATTATGAAGACGAATAGGTAAAAAGAGACATTTGCATGGGAGTATAACGACATAAGACGCGCGTAAAAGCTATAGCCCGGTAGAAGAGTGTCAAGTATAGCCTCAATAGGCACCAGGGAATATGCAGCACCCGACGAGTTCATCTTCGAAAATTTGAGTTCAAGTGACCAAACACTGAAGGTTTTTTCAACCAGTCCTGACGTATAGTTTGGAGATTTGGCTATAATATATCGGCGAGCAGCTGAACAAACCTCACCAGGTAGGGTCTCAGCTCGTATAGGCGACTGGCGAGCAAATTGCGTAAACATAGTCTTCGTCATTATAGTGGCGCTAAATGTATCTTAATACATAGCCTTTCAAAACATCAAAATTGGATAAGATGTATGACCGGGTATATTTTACACTGCGGTACACGCTAGGTCAGCCTCGATTAAGAAGGGATCCCCAATTCGTAGTATTCTGTAGATTAGAAGATCAGGTCTGACTGACAAGGAATTATCGGTCAAAAAGATCGCCTCTTTACCTGCGTATAGCTTTGAGAGCTGTCAGGGATCTGCTACCTAGGCTTAAGACTATAGTTACATCAAAGTCTATCGGCGCGGCATGTGGCTTCTAAAGGGAGCCGTAAGTGGGAAGCTCCAGGATGGATAGATGTCCCTAAAATAGCAATCAGCAAGATCTTTGTATGGAAAACAAGTGACTGGAGGCATTACGTCTTAATTGGTAGGTCCTTTATATTTACTCTTATCATAGCTGATTATATGGGAACAGACACACAACGGGAAAAGAGTTAATGACGATGGAAAGCAATCCACCCCAACATCCGCTGCTTTATGGGACATAGCTAATAGACATGCCATCGGCATCCAACACTGTGCTCCTCCCACATATTGAAAGGATTAGACCGGTGGCTGCCACGCAATTTCTCTAGATGATATCAGTGTCCAACAATAACAGTTTTAGGTAAAGTGAAGGCTAGGGTTGTGCTAACCTATACTGCCACCGTAATTCATTCCAGATATCAAAAAGACGTTGGGCAAAGACTCCACATATTGCAAGTATATAGAATATACAGATTAAGCACAGTATTGCGGTCAATTCGTACATAGCAAGGACAGTGGTGAGGGTGATTTAGAGAATGTCGCGAGTGTAGGAAATAGCCTAAGAAAAAGGTGTAGAAGGTTTAAAGTATTTACTTTGACTGCCCCTGGCATTATAACAAAAAGAGCGCTCCTGCGTACTAGGGTGTAATATGAGTCCCCTGCTACGAATACCAGAACGAAGAGTGATCTTTCTTGACTACCAGAAATGATCATTTAAGAATGGATGTCCTGGTAATTTTGCTGGCTATTGGTTATGTACTGTATGTAGGTCGTGATCTAATACTGGGGTGCATGGGCAACAGCTAGATGCTCAACTTATCACCAATATCATTGGCCAGACAGTGGCTTCAGCTGCCGCATGATGAGTGGGGGAAACGCGAATACACAAGGGGGGTATGCTTCTGTGGATGCTCCTTCCTGGAAAGGAAGCGCTCAACCTCATAAGTCAATACGTAGGCTTTCAATACACCAGAAATATGGTGGTGGCTTCCGGTAGTTCCTGATATGTCCGACGCTAAGGCTAACCCAAAGCATGGGAGAAGCATAGCATCATTATCGATGACTTACTTGTCCCTGGCGATTACCCGGTAGGTAGGGGGGGAGAAGTCTTGATTTCTCGATATAAGAACCTGACCTTCTGTCTTAAACTATGTTTCCTAATTATCATAGCTTCTTCCCTTGAGATCCTCCTAATACCTTTCGCTCGCATCTCAGTTCCTTTGTTCAATTGTTACTGAAGATAATCATGGTAAGTCATTCGCGTCTTGTTGTATGATCTTTACCGACGTTCGTTCGAAGGCTCCACAGATTCCGCTTCATGAAGGATTCCTTCACTTTCCGGCTCAGTCAGTCTTGAAGGCGCTACAGATGAATTGTCTGGGCTGGGAGGACTTTCAAAACCCATGCTTCTCGGAACACATCAGCTCGGAAGCCAAGTTTCTCTTACAGGGTTGTCAGACGGTCAGAAAAGGCTCGGTTTCCGTTACGGATATATCTAACCTGGCTGGGAACCAACTTCTCTGTCAGCATGTGGAAAGAATCTCCAGCATGCTCATGCCAGATGTGCTACTTAAGCTATCTCTTCTTACCTGGCATTTTGACGCAAGCGGTACTGTCTCTGAAGACCTCCTTCGATTCCTCACAGGACCTCAGAATAATGAGGATGTGTACAAGCTTCTCTGGAACCAGTATAAGGATCGTTCAGAACATGATGTGACACTCAAAGTCTTTATTCTAGAGATGTTGAGACTGATGACTTTTCTTCAAGCTGCTCTTGCTACGAGATGGAATGTACTTATGTATCAGTGGCAGTAATCAGTTATGCTTGTTTAGTGGAAACCGAATATTACAACCAAGACTGTATCTGAAACAATCCCATCACCATGTACTTAGGAGTCCATGTAGCAAACAGCGGTACTTTCTACAGTATGCATCTGTCCTCTTTATGTCCTTTATCAAGATACTTTAACTTGCTACCGTGCAGAGATTGGAAAGAACAATGCCCAGAAGTTCAGTCACTCTTATGATGACTAATCGACCATGGGCCTTCAGTCAGCCAAGTGAGGTACACTACCAAAAGAATACGCCCACACAACCTGTGTATTAAAATTTGCTCTAGATATTTAGTGACAAAATGCATCTGTGATAGGATCTACTTGTCAGGGTAGAAGGCCTGTCGACTAGGTAAGGAACTGGCCACCGAACGTGTAGGATTCCACTGGTGACGACAAAGGTAGCCTATATCCACAAGATAGACTGATCCTTGAAGGATCAGATAGTACGACTCTACCCTCTCGTTATATGAAAGTCAACGGTCCGATACAGTGCGTAAGTCGATGACCTCACGACTTCCGTGACCACTCCAGCACGTCACCCCAAGGACCTTGATCCCACTAGCTGGGCTATTACAAGGCCAGGACGCCAGTCGGGCCGGTGCCGATAAGATAAGGCCTCAGTCCGGGCCGTTCTATCACAGCTGCTGGGCAACTTTCATACATCGATATCCTCTCAGTATATGTCCTCTCAGCTGTCAATATCGTAGGTACATATCACACATACTCGGGGATTTCTTGCAATTTTTGAATTCACGGTCAACAAATTCATTGTAGACCGTCAATAGGATGATTACACCACAACTCAATTCGATTCTGCAACCCGTTGATCACCTGATCGATTTCCCACTAGTAGGCAACTCTAGCCCATGCTTAATATGCGTCTCGTGATGCGCGATGACTGCGGTAATGACTGCTCCACCCGATGCAGGTCGTCAGATGGTAAAATTGCGCTAGTGGTTCAACACGGAGAACGTATTTATTTCGGGCATCGAGATAATTTCCCGAAAACCCCACCATCAGATACTTTGCTTTCGCGCAGACACTATCCTACGCCACTCATTAATTTCTACTCTATGAAAACGAATGTAGGTTATATCACTCTACAAGTCTATTTCGTTGCTAAGTACTTGCACTCGCAGCGATTATCATCACCCCAGACTATTACGGTTCTCGAGGCCGGCCTTGAAAGGGCAGATGGATACAATGGCTGAGCTTGTGGCTTTCCTCGAGAAGGCGCATTGGGAGAAACGGGGCAAGGATACCTCAATATGTGTCGACGAAAATCTCGAATCTGTATTGGCAAAACTTGCGTCGGGACTCCCTGATTTGAAGGGTCATGATCTACAGGCATGGAAGACCACGAGATCGACGAGGATAGTGAAGACAGCGGCCTATCTTATCCCTATTTGCACAATCGAGGGAATGCCGCGAGTCGAAAACGGTCCTGAACTCACACCAGGTTCGCGGCCGTTCTACTTTGAAGACGAAATTGTTATATCCGGCTCGCTTTACTACGTCCTTGCCTTACCCCCCAAACCGAAATCGGATTGAGATCAACTACTGTCAGGGTTACGGAACAAGTCACAATGATTCCAATAGTACCAAAATTGATATACATCCATAATGACCATACTACTCATCGGTTCAGACAACCTAATATGGATATCTAGCTTTTCCATAACTATGTCGCTGTAACAGGGTGTTGACCTAAGACATTGTTCGGGATATTTGGCGGAGACCATTGATATGCTCCTTCTTCGACTGGAACTATATCGTCTATTGAAGGCCAGGAAATTCGAGGTTCGGCAGAAGCAATTATCGCGTCTATTGAGTCGACGTCAGGGTCGTAACTGTCCATGCCCGTAGGCCAGGGAATTCGAGGTTCGGCAGAAGCATTTATCGCGTCTATTGAGTCGACGTCAGGGTCGTAA